CCCCGACGCCCCTCCCCCGCCCCCCCCCCCCCCCCAACCTGTTTTAAGCGCAATAACAATTTATTCCGCCCTCCAAACCTGTTTCGATACCCTAACAAATGGCAAAGGCAGGTATCTTTGCCAAATGTCAGCTTTACAACAATGTTTACATGGCTCCCAAACTTTAAGCCATTGCCCTTAATCTCAGACAAATTGAACAACTTTGCGATGGGCATACTTGTTGTTGTCAGTGACTTAACTGTGTCCTGGAACCTCACCTAGATTAATCTGCCACAAATCACAACTTTCTCTGTATATTAAGTTACATAGCTGCCGTCTACATAACCAGGTCATATTTGGCGTATACTTCACCTCCCCGAAAAGGACTTCCCTTTATCAAACCCACATCATTGCTATCGAAATAGTGTGTGTGTGTGTGTGTGTGTGTGTGTGTGTGTGTTCCCCTTTACTTAATCAACAGCCTGTAGCCCAAATCTGTACTGCATTATGGTCTTAGGCCCCATTCACACTGAGCGATTTACCGCGCGGTAATTCCCGCAATATCGTGGCTATTTACCGCGCGATATCGCTCTCAATGCATGGCAATGGGGCTCTGTCTGTCCCTGTCGTGCATCGCTACAGCAGGACCCTTTTTGGAGCGGATCTTGCCGCGATTCTAGCTTGCGCAATGCAAGCATTTGTGCGATTTGCGACTCGCTCAATGTGAATGGGGCCTTAATGTCTATCTCTAAATGTGAAACTCCTGGCCAATAGGCTTAAGACATACAATTCTGTCTTATCCATAGAGAGCAGATTGGCTCTGTCCCGGGCCAAAAGACCCACCACAATACTATAAAGACACTGACCCTCCATTATGCCAAAAACGATTCCCCATTTTACAGATGATTGAATGCTCTTTCAGCATCTTTATTGGCATTTTCTGCTCTACCTGTACAAAATGGAATGCCCACCCGTTTCCACATTGCTACAAACAAGATCCTTCCTCTCATAGGGTTTGCTACAGAGCTTGGAAGTCTTTTTTTTTTTTTGCTTTGTGCAAGAGTGTTTTTGAATTCAAGAAAATTCAGTAAGTCAGGTTTTGGCTTTCCTCCAATCTGCTCTGGATAAAAAGTTGGCCTCAAGTAGGATTACGGGCCAAATTTTGGCTTTAACAAAATGAGAAGATAAGGGTCCTTGGAACAGAATCATTAAAGGCTTTCCTGAGGTTATTTCGTCCTTTCATCTTAGTTTGTGGTTCTGGAAAAACATGAGGGCAACACAATATATTGACTCAATCTTTACCTTTTTTTGTTGAATGTTGGTAAGGACTTTATGAATCTACCTAGACACTACTACTTTTTGTTGGGACTGTTTATTCCGACAGGATCCTGCAGAGGTTTCGTAAATTCAACAGGTCATTCTACAAGCTTATGGTAGTAAAGATAGGTTCCCCCCCCCCCCAACCTGTTTTAAGCGCAATAACAATTTATTCCTCCCTCCAAACCTGTTTCGATACCCTAACAAATGGCAAAGGCAGGTATCTTTGCCAAATGTCAGCTTTACAACAATGTTTACATGGCTCCCAAACTTTAAGCCATTGCCCTTAATCTCAGACAAATTGAACAACTTTGCGATGGGCATACTTGTTGTTGTCAGTGACTTAACTGTGTCTGCAATAACAATTTTTTCCTCCCTCCAAACCTGTTTCGATACCCTAACAAATGGCAAAGGCAGGTATCTTTGCCAAATGTCAGCTTTACAACAATGTTTACATGGCTCCCAAACTTTAAGCCATTGCCCTTAATCTCAGACAAATTGAACAACTTTGCGATGGGCATACTTGTTGTTGTCAGTGACTTAACTGTGTCCTGGAACCTCACCTAGATTAATCTGCCACAAATCACAACTTTCTCTGTATATTAAGTTACATAGCTGCCGTCTACATAACCAGGTCATATTTGGCGTATACTTCACCTCCCCGAAAAGGACTTCCCTTTATCAAACCCACATCATTGCTATCGAAATAGTGTGTGTGTGTGTGTGTGTGTGTGTGTTCCCCTTTACTTAATCAACAGCCTGTAGCCCAAATCTGTACTGCATTATGGTCTTAGGCCCCATTCACACTGAGCGATTTACCGCGCGGTAATTCCCGCAATATCGTGGCTATTTACCGCGCGATATCGCTCTCAATGCATGGCAATGGGGCTCTGTCTGTCCCTGTCGTGCATCGCTACAGCAGGACCCTTTTTGGAGCGGATCTTGCCGCGATTCTAGCTTGCGCAATGCAAGCATTTGTGCGATTTGCGACTCGCTCAATGTGAATGGGGCCTTAATGTCTATCTCTAAATGTGAAACTCCTGGCCAATAGGCTTAAGACATACAATTCTGTCTTATCCATAGAGAGCAGATTGGCTCTGTCCCGGGCCAAAAGACCCACCACAATACTATAAAGACACTGACCCTCCATTATGCCAAAAACGATTCCCCATTTTACAGATGATTGAATGCTCTTTCAGCATCTTTATTGGCATTTTCTGCTCTACCTGTACAAAATGGAATGCCCACCCGTTTCCACATTGCTACAAACAAGATCCTTCCTCTCATAGGGTTTGCTACAGAGCTTGGAAGTCTTTTTTTTTTTTTGCTTTGTGCAAGAGTGTTTTTGAATTCAAGAAAATTCAGTAAGTCAGGTTTTGGCTTTCCTCCAATCTGCTCTGGATAAAAAGTTGGCCTCAAGTAGGATTACGGGCCAAATTTTGGCTTTAACAAAATGAGAAGATAAGGGTCCTTGGAACAGAATCATTAAAGGCTTTCCTGAGGTTATTTCGTCCTTTCATCTTAGTTTGTGGTTCTGGAAAAACATGAGGGCAACACAATATATTGACTCAATCTTTACCTTTTTTTGTTGAATGTTGGTAAGGACTTTATGAATCTACCTAGACACTACTACTTTTTGTTGGGACTGTTTATTCCGACAGGATCCTGCAGAGGTTTCGTAAATTCAACAGGTCATTCTACAAGCTTATGGTAGTAAAGATAGGTTTGGCAATGTTTGGATACAACTGACTAAACCCAAACTTCTGCAGAGGGTACAAACGCCCACCCCCCTAAAGAGTGGGGGTTGTCTTCATTGCGAAGACTTGAGTCTTGGCAGGTTTGACCAAGACTTGCGTTTTTGTATGGGTACTCATATCATCCGTTGAAGAATTTGGAGTCAAAAGCAACACTTCCAACTCCTCACCGCCCACCTCCTGCTCGGAAAATGGAGAACGAGCAATGTCCCCATCCGACTGGTTTCAGAGGGAGCCAGAGAAGGACTCTTTTACATCCTCTGCGACTGGACCCTTCTATGGCAAGAAATCTGACCCATGAAAATTGACCTTGAGGCTGCAAAATCATCCTTCCAAAGACGGGACGAATGAGACTCAGCTGATGAAGCAGACCCAACGAAGGGCAAGACATTAAAGGGTGAATTAACAGATCAGGTGAATCATCCAGTGTCCGGGGAACCACTAGGTAACCCACTATGCCCATTGGCATACTAGATCCTCTTTGGGGCAGAGAGTAGATCAAAAGATCAGGTCCCCCCTCCCTGCTGGGCAAAGCTGCGCTGTATACAGATCAGGGCTGGATGGAGAAATCTAGAAAATCCTTTGCGGAAATTCAGGTCTCTTTACTCTTTACCAGGGGTAGCCTAACTTTGGCCCTCACAGCTGTGATGACTACAAATCCTGTCATACTTGTGGCATTTAGTTTTGCAATGCCTCATGGGTTTTGTAGTTCACCACAGCTGGATATCTGAAGTTTGGCTACCTATGCTCTATACAGTATTTATGGTTTCAAAGCCCCAGTGGATGATTCAGTCACAATCTGGCTCTAGCTACTGTTTGTTATACCTAAAACTTGATTCTGCTTACATTTTTAAGGGCCACATCCATTTTAACTGTCCCTTTTTTTTAGGTGGGAAACGAAAAATAGAAATCCACGTTTCCAACCAACTTTCCTTGCTGGTACTCGCCATTTTCTGTTTTTCCAATGTTTCCTATGGATTCTTTAAATCTGTTGTGACTTGGCAATCTATTTACCATTGTTGTCTAGCGTAAACCTTTTTGATCTGTTATAGGCTGCAGAAAAACTGGGTGAGCTGGATAAACTGTGTTTAGTAGTGGAAGAATTGGGAGGCCTAGAGAAAATAGAGGCTCTGCAGACACATGACAATCATATGGTTTACCATGCAGCCTTGGCTCTTATAGAAAAATACTTCTCTGGAGAGGTAAGGTGTGCGTGTGTCCCTGTCCATAAATCAAACTAAAGGTAGCAATAAATCTCAATGTTGAAAGGGTTTAAATATACTATAGTGTGAAAAAGTACTCTTTGAATGATATGCTTTTTGCAGAGGACCTATCGGGACATAATGGTCCTTAGCAGGTCTTTAACATTTTAGGTAAATACCTCAGCTAAACACATGAGATAAGTGTCATTTATTTTAAACCTAAAGCCAAAGGAGAAATTATGTGTGAAAAAAAACACCTAAGTACACCCTTACTGCTTCTGTAGGAATTTAGAGGCTAAGTAGCAGCTGGGTGCTGCTAAGCAATGTCTTTGCTTAATTGATCAGCAAGTCTGACAACCTCCTATAAAAGCTGAAGTTTTCAGTTTGCTGGTCTGGAGCATTCAGGTTTGTTGGCACAATGCCAAGGAGCCAGGATATCAGTAATTATCTTGAAGAAACCATTGTTGCCCATTAATCTGGGAACGGATATAAGGCAATTTCCAAATTATTACAAATTCATTCTACAGTGAGGAAGATGCACAAGTGGAAAACAGACCGTTGACTTATCTTCCCAGGAGTGAAAGTCCCAACAAATTCACCCAGAAGTCAGATCATGCAATGCTCAAATTGCAAAAAAAAACATGAGTTTTCTCAGACTCTACAGGCCTCAGCATCTTGCATTCCATGACAGAACAATTAAAAAGACTGAACAAGTGTGGTTTGTTTGGAAGTGCCTCCTCTCTGAAAACTTAAGCCATGCTGTCATTTTTATTTAATGCTGCATCTGAACAAACCACAAGACTTCTGGAACAATGTCCTTTTTGGACAGACGAGACCATAGTGGGAATGTTTGGTCATAATGCACAGTGCCACGTTAATTGGGGAGAGACATGGCATATAGGCTCAAACGCCTCATACCAACTGTCAAGCACAGTGGTGATGAATTGATCTTGTTTAGCAGACACAGGATCTGGGCACCGTGCAATTGGGTCAACAATGAACTCCTCCTGTATTCTACAATCAAATGTGAGGCCATCTGTCTTGACCGCTAAAGCTTGGCTGAAATTTTGTCATGCAAGAGGAAAATGATCCCAAGAACACCAGCAAATCTACAACAGAATTACTGGAAAAGAATAAAGGTGTTGCAATGGACCAGTCAAACTCCTGACCTCCAATGAACAAACTGTAAAGTGGGCCAAAATTTCTCCATAATGCGAGAGACTGGTCGTCATGCAGAAAACGATTACTTCGTTATTGCTGCCTAAGGTGAATCTATAAGGTGTACTTGGTTTTCCACACATGGCTTCATTTTTTTTTAGCTTATTTTGTCAAATAAATGACACGGTGTAATGTCATGTGGTGGTCATCTGAGGCTGTTTTTACCTAATTTTAAGATCGGCTGAGGACTAGGTTATGTCCTGATACGTAAAACAATAGAATTCAAACAAGGTGTACTTTAATAACACTGTTTTTATACAGTCATGTGAAAAAGTGTAATGGTGCAGTTACAAAAAAGGGGGGAAACAATACAAAATCCCTGTAGAGTACGCTGTCTAAAAACTGGACCTGAACCAGTGGCTTAAACTCTGCAAGGCAGATGTGCTAACTGCCAAGCTACTGTTCTTTGTTATTTCATGTTATATTCATAAATTCCATACAGATGAGGTCCTGGTTCTAAAAACATTCAATAAGGTGAACATCTAAATGCTATTCATTGTGGATAGGAAGCAAATGATTCTCATGTGTATGAGGGCAAAGTTACCTTTTTGTGAGAAATAATGCACGTGGACTACAATCCCTGCAGCTTGAAAGTTTGTCTGTGAAAGGACAGTCAAAATGGCAAATTGTGCTGAGATATAGTAAACAGAAGTTGGTTGATAGTCTTAATCTGGCCATACACCTATCTGCTTTTTATGCATATAACATGTTGGTCAACTTAGACAGGCCAATCCTCCCACCAGCATGTCTTCAGAGTGTGAGAGGAAATTATACAAAATCCATAAGGATCCATGGCTGAACCTGAACCAATGGAACCTGAACCTGGAACTTGCAAGGCAGATGTGTTGACACCAAGCCACTATGCTGTTCTGTATAGGATATACAGTATGAACAGAAACATGGCAAACATTGCTCTGAGGTTCCGGGTAAAGGTGGCCATACACCTTAAAACCACCGCAAGACCTTAGTCTTGTGATGGTTGTAAAGTGATTAACAAAACGTACGATCTGCCCATCTTGGACAGGCAGATCGTACTCTCGATCATCGCAAGCCTGCCCCCCTGAGGGGCGGGCTTACAATGACTGCAAACGGGCAGTGTGTGCGTGCGCACACTGGCCCGTTTGGCAGTTGTCGAACCAGCAGGCCACTAACTCGCTGAGAATCGTACGATTCCCGGCGGGTTTTCTAGCATGCTGGTTCGACGGAAGACGTGCGATCTACTGATGTAAATGCAATCAACACCTGGTTGTGACAAATTATGTGGATTGGAGTGACATTCACCATAGTACCAGAAAATGTTTTGTACCAGTCATTCTGAATTGAAAAGCAGGTCAGATGTCCAGTGAAACGTCTTCAAGAAAAGTACAGCAAGTCCAGTTGCCTTGACTTATGTTTTACAGATATACTGCTGGATTGTATTTGTAGTGCTTATTAAAGTGTAAATAAGGGCAGAAAATGATATGACATGATCCATGTAGGAATTGAAGCACCACACCAATAGTCCAGAAATAACTTTACTCCACTAGGGTCAGGAGAATGTGGATTGTAGTAACATTCACCATTTTTATTCCCAGATAATTTTTTGTACAAGTCGTTCTGAATTGAGAAAGCTGGTCGGATGTCCAGTGAACATTTTCAAGAAAAATACAGGAAGTCCAGTTGCCTTGACTTATTTTTTTTACAGATATACCATGACCTGGATGAATGAGAACCTTCAGACACAATCCAGCAGTATAGCATTTTATCATTAACCAGTTTTTTTTTTCCCCTTCTCGTCCCCAGGATTTTTCATAAACTCAATTTTTAATTTCCTAAATGGCATTTTTTGTGTATTCTCACCATTTTGTATTTCTGTATTGTAGGAGACTGATGGCATGGCTGTCCTGGAACCAGAAGCCACTAAAGAAAGATATGCATTTCAGGCACCAAGTGCACCCAAGGAGGCTTTCAATTTCTAATGCCTAAAGGTCTCATGGGGGGAGAATGGTTGGAAAGTTCAAAAGCTGGGAGTTGTGAATAACAATGTTGCAATAAAGCAGTATTTGTAGAATGTGTGGTTGTTTTGTTTTTTTGGTGGAGTGTTTGCGCTTATTTGGCAAAGTCAACATTGCATAGTGGTAAAAGTTTTTTTTTGTTTTTTACTAAGATGACTCCATACTGCATATATACGTATGCACAATAATTAGATATGTGGAGGTAGTTTATATGTAGCTTCCTTCTGGACAGCGGTCTGATATTTACATCCTGCCTATACCCTAGGTGGGCAGTATACAGCAGTTTGAGGCTGCTGAAATGTCTCCATTCCATTGTGGGCTAACAAATGGAGATGTGTCTGGAGCATAGCTCCCTGGGCCCCCCTCATATTTTGGTATCTAAACTCTGAGTTTAGTGTCACTTGACATTTTGGTTGGGGTCAGTTCTAATTAGGTTTGGAGACTAGATTTGGGTTTTGGCTGTTGGGTTTGTTTTTTTTTTTTGCTTCCTTTATTACAAATTTAAACTTTTTGTTTTTTAGTTTGATCGTGGAGAGGGATTAGAACGCGCTGTCTCCCAATTAGGGAGATTGACCCTCTTTTTGTCCTGGTTACCATTGTCCCTGAAAGTGAAAGATCCCAAATTTTGGGTTATCACAACTGGAAAAGATGGGATAGCTTCTGATGGGGACAGTAGTTCTAGTGACCCTGCCCAGGATTGCCCTCAATTCAGAAGGATTTCCGGTTGTGACTTCTGTAAGTAGGGATGTTCCGATGCTTGGCATTTTCACGAACTACCAGGGCTGCAGCGGCTGGCACTGGGCCATGGCGCTCCACCACTGTCCCGAAATCATTAGTCTGTATTTTAGAAAAAGTGTCACATGACACTAAAATGTATCAGTAATTGGTATCTTGAGTACTTGGACAAGTACCGGTACTGAGTTTTGTTTTTTGTTTTTTCTTGTCTAGTCTTGGAGCTGGACAAGTATCGGTACTTGTACCTGTACCAAATATGGTAGAGGGCAAAAAAGCAGACCGGTTTCTAATCCTCCCTTACTCCAAAACTAAAACAAAAAAAATGGCTTTGGTTCTACTTCAAAACAGGAGTTGGGCATATATACAGCTATTTAAAACACAAACTTGCAGCAAAAACCCAACTCCACTTGGATAACATCAATGGTGAACTCCACTCTGCCTCTCCTTGGCTCTTCCACCTTTTCCAAAAGATCCTTCAAGGCAGTATTTAAAAAAAAAAAAATAGTTTCTGGAAGTTTAGACCGGTCATGTGATGCTGCATACGCAGTTGTGGGGGTTTGTACAAGTGTAATTTGGCTTTAATGCAAGACAAAAGAATTCCAGAGCAGAATGGGTTATCTACAGAGAACATGCTGCCTCTCATTGAAACCTTTGTGAAAAACAAAACAAAAACCCAAGAATTGATTTTACAGCTCTGTATAAAAAGATAATGGGAAACCTATACCGGTTTGGGGGTCAATATGTTGAAGTTTAAAGGGCTAAGCAGCCATTCAATTAATCCATCTCATGAGAGCTTACAATCTACCAGGAGGGCAATTAATAGCCCTGGGATGACATCACTGGAATCGGAATTCTTAGGTACTAGTTCAGTATTGTGGAACATTCTCATACGTGGAGAGTCCCGAGCTGTGACATGGAGACTGATGAAGAACCGAGGAGGACTCTGGATGACAATGATGCAATGTGCAAGTTGGGTATTCGCCCAACGACTTGTGTTTCGGGGGGGGGGGGACCCAACGACTTGTGTTTTGGGGGCACCCAACGGAGCACCACTGCAGGCAGATCCTGTTACATTTTGCTGATTTACTTTGAAGGTCAAAGTGCTATTTATGAAAAACAAATCTAATTTCATTGTTTTGTTTCTCTACATCCTCCAACTGCAAGAAATTGGCGGTTGATTAAGCGGAAGAACAGAGCGCAGTTCCCCCGCAGTAAGGCAGTTGCTGCTCTCCTGGAAAGCGCTAATAAGGGGTTTGCAGAACACACGGTGCCTTTCCCTACTTTGGAGAAGAGGATGCTGGGAGGATTTGCGAGGGGGGGGTGGATCCCGTGATTTATATTTATTTTGTATTTGTGTATAGAGTATATCGTATGTTATAAAATACACTAATCTATGCAAAGAGCCGTATTCCAGGGAGAGATTGTAAATCCTCTTTATTTGGTTGAATTATAAAGGCTGATAAGTATAAAAATAAAGTAAATTGCAAATAAAAATGAATCATCATGTATCAGTCCACTTATAGACACAATGGGCAGACTCTATGCCATTCCAACTTATTACACTTACAGGATTGTATTTCATCTTGATGATCATCCAAGAATTTTGTAATTCTTGTGGTATGAACTCTACTGCCAAAGTCATAACATCAAACACTTGTTTAATATCTGCATGTTCTTTATTTTAAAATCATCATTCTATACAAATTGAATAGGAACAATCTTGAACCTGAGCCCCTTTTGTGACTGTTAAAAACAAGTTACAATCAGTTTGACCAAATAACGGTTTCACCAGAACAAAATGTGCGCATATGGTAATTTAACGTGTGTAAAAGGTAACCAGCTAACATAAGTGTGTGTCGACTGACCGACCGACACTGTTTCCCTGAAAACAAGACCTAGCACTATTTTTCAAGATTCCTGTAATATAACACCTACCCCGAAAATAAGACCTAGTTTGGTGTTAGGGGGAACTTGAGGGGTTCAAGTTCCCCCTCAAACATGTGAGGGGGAACTTGAAGAGCAGGAGAGGTGGTATCAGCCTGCAGGGACATACTGTATTAAGGGGATGACAGGGGACTCCCTCCGGCCAGCGCAGTGACAGGGAGCACTCCAGTTACCATACTTCACCAACTGCTGTCCCCCTGAAGGCACTGCTTAATGTAATGGTACTGTATTGTGTACCGGTAAATGGTAACATACTTTACTGCGCCATCCACTGTCTGATGTCCCCACTGCTGCACCACTGGTACCACTGTCCCTGATGGCAAAGCATGCCAGCGCTGTAGAAAGCAAGGCTGAGGCGGCGGGGGGAACAGAGCCGCATTAGCAGATACTTCCTCTATAGCGCCAGTTACCGTGACAGGCGGAGTGATACCAGATACATTTTGGGTTGTACATTTTGTTGCACAGTAAAAAAAAAAGACATCCCCTTTTGGGGACAAAAAAAATATAAGACAGTGTCTTATTTTCGGGGAAACACGGTATATATAAAATTTAACATCCACTAATAAACCGCAAGTCAATCTTTTGCTCTTTGAAGTGGTAAAATGGAGTTTAAATTTGGTGTGAAATTAGGCAATCCCGTCTTTGTTCCCTGATTTAATACCTTTTGTGTTGATAAATTTGGCAACCAAGTACTGCTGTCTGTCCTCTGTAAAGGAGTATAACACCTCATCCAATATACAGTCATCTGTGCACAATTAGGGGAGACCGCAACATACTGAAGAACATACTGCCCTCAACCTCTTACACAATGTGAGTGGGGCATCACATTCACACAGCCAGTAATCCATAGCACCACTATTTTGCCTTCTGCTGCATGCTACTCTACTGTTTGCCAGAATTCCTTTGGGCACTGTTGCTGACAGTCTTTCTACTGCTCTTTTACTAGAAACACAGCATAATCACCTCTACTACTAAGAGCCACCTGCAGTGACTCTTTGGGCCACAGCCTTATCGCTCAGTACCCCTCTAGGTTAGTCGATATGTCTCATTCCTGGTAATTACCACATTTTTGCTACTAATGGATGCCGCGCTTTACTGGCATTTAGTAGTGGCGTTCTTGTAACTGTTTTAAAGCCTCTGCCACTTTACAATTGTGTCATACTGTTCACTTTTGCAAAATGTCTGATACAATAATGAAATTAATGTCCAATATGTCCCCCTGCACTCCTTGCAGCATCTCTGGCCAAAATCACAATAATGGTACTTGTAGTGATACGGATGGCGCCGTGCACATTAAACAGCAAATGAATTAGAAATCACCAGCATTCAGTAAAAGATTTCAAATGATAGTCTATTTAATCGGACAGCTCGTCATACATGTTGCAATAATTATAACCAACGTTTAGGGACCCTTCATCAGTGTGTTACATTGTTGCCCTGATGCAGGGTCCCAACGTGGCCCCGAAATGTCGGTTATAACTATTGCAACATGTATGATGATCTGTCCAATTAAATGGACTTTATCCTTTGAAATATTTTACTGAGTGCTGGTGATTCCTATTCATTTGCTGTTTGATACAATAATGAAGACCAGTTGCCTCACAGCTAAGGAATAATCTATTATGCAGAAACTTTTTTCTGCTTGCGCTATCTACTTTGCCGGCAAATCTTCCTCTGAGCTGCCTACTTCTGCACTTTCATCTGTAGTCCTTACCCTTATTCTTATCTTTGAATATTTGAACCTTTTTCTTGTGCTATGCACAGCGTGTTGGAGCTGGCTTGGGCTCTTTAGCAGTCTGACAGGAGAGCTTGCAGAAAGTGCCCTCTTCAATCTCCTCCCCCCTCCATCCTTTTTTGGTGTTCCAATTTCCTTGGAGCAAGGACATGGGTACACTTCTGATGCAGATTTCTTGCAGTTGCTTTGTGGAGATGACCACACAGCTGCTGCGTCTTGGAAAAGTGAGGCGGATTCTAGCCTGATTCAGACAGTCTGTGAACCCTAGATTGAAGTTAGAAAACTACTACTCTTGAATGGCCAGTAAGGGCTCTGCTAAGATTTTCCAATATCATCCTGTGGTTGATGGTGTACTTTACAAGTAGTGGAAGCTCACAATTAGGCCTTTCTCCATCTTTTTTAATGCTTTTTAGTATAATATACCTTTGCACAGCACTTTGCGAGAAAATTAGTCACTCCAACAGCAGCAGATTCTCCAACTTCTCTGCTCAGTAAGGTTACAGTCATTCCGTTGAGGATGCAACATCTTTTTCAGGATCTGGTGAATAGGAAACTGTAATCCTTGTCCTGATCAATTGTGCTTCT